GGCTGGTACGTGGCTGTGGAGCCCAGGCCTGCCATGGGGGGGCCTCCTGTGAGCCGTGAGGGAGAGACCCCGGCTGGTTCCCCGTCACCTGCACCCCGGCAGCCCAGCACAAGGGCCAGCATGGAGAGCGCTGGGCTGCCCCCAGGGCCGTGTCCCCTGCAGCCACGGCCACCTCGTGTCATGGCAGGGCTGCCAGGACAAGCACCGCAGCGCACACAGGCCGTGCTGGCTCGGCACCCCTGGGGACGCAGGGGGACCCCGCCACGGGGGCCCAGGGCCGAGCTGCCCCGCGGTAGTGGGGGCTCTGCCCATCGGCGGCCCTGCTGTGTGCCCCGACTCGGGCACCCCGCGGAGCTGTGGAGCCGCAGACACAGAGCCGAGCCCGCATGGTTTCCAGGACATTTATAGCACGGAGCCGAGCGGGACGGCTCACAGCTCCTCCCGGGATTCGGCCGCCCCCAGCAGACTCGGCTCCTCCCCGCCTGTGCTGTTCCTGGGGGTCTCGGGCACCTGGAGAAGGCAGCGGTGAGGATGGACAGCCCCTGCCTGTCCCCGTCCCCATCCCGCAGGATCTGTCCCTGCCCACCAGAGTCTGGGGGTCACCCCGGGGTGGTGGGGGGGGTCCCTGGCCCTTGGGTGTAGGGGGCCTCACTCACAGCAGGCGGCTCCTCAGGCAGCGTCCCCCCATTTTCCAGGAACTTGGAGAAGGTCTCCACGTCTCGGGCGCTCTTGTACTCAACCATCTGGGATGGAAGGGCCGTGAGGGGTGACCCCATCCCCTGGTGCTGGCAGAGCCGGGGTGGCCCCACAAGTGCCCCCACCTACCTTCCTGCCCGGCCCCGCGGGGAAGTAGTGGAGGGTGGGAAAGCCACTGATGGTGATGTTCTCCAGCTCGTTGGCCGTGGAGTCCAGCTCAGCGATGACGATGTCCTCGTGGTCCTTGTAGCGCTGGCCCAGCTCTTCCCAGGCGGCCGCCATGGCCTGGCAGTGGGAGCACCACGGCGCGTCTGCGGGACGGGCGCAGTGCGGGGGGACGAGCCGGGCACCGCGGCCCTGCCGGGGTCAGGGGGCAGCGTCCCCCGGGCAAGGGGCCGGTGACAGGGCTCGGGGCTGTCATGGTGGGGGCTGAGCCGTGGGGCAGAGCTTGGGGAGGGCCACAGGCAGCCCCAGCACTTACAGAACTTGACGAAGACGTTCTTGGTCTCATCGAATGCCACCTGCTCGAAGGTCTTTCCCACCAGGACTTTAACGGGCCGTGTGTCCCAGTCCTCGGGGGGCTCCGCGCTCATCAGGTGGGGCTGTGGGGCGGCACGGCCACAGCCTGGGCTGAGTGGTGCCAGGGCCCCATGGGGCACAGTGTGGGCTGGGCAGGGCCCCCCCAGCATGCAGCCAGGGGTGCTCCTGTGCTGCCTTTTGGACTGCCTCTTCCCCTCTGCCACCATCCCAGCTCTGTGTGCCGCCACACCAACAGTCTCCTGCCTCCTTTCCCATCACAAACCTCCAAATCCTCAGGCCCAGCAGCACAAGCATCAGGAAGCAGGTGGCTGATGTTCACCGCACAACTGCCATCATTAGGCTTCAGAGTTAACCCAGTGCTCACCACAGGGAAGCATCCTTGGGGCTGGCTGGCACGGTGCCGCATCCCTCACCTTCACCTGGCCGTCCAGCACCGCCCGGATGAAGGTGCCTATGGCTGCCTCCGAGAAGGTGTCCTGGTCCATCCGGTACTTGCGGTTGTTCTCCATCTTGACGAGGCGCAGGGTGGGGGCGTCAGCAGGTGTCAGGCCGAAGAAGGGCAGGACGTCAGCGCCAAACCCAGTCACATCCACTACCACGAAGAGCACCTGGGCAGGGGATGGGTGACCCTGAGGCTGGGGGGTGCCCCGCGGCCACCTCCCCACACCCTCGCCATGAGACCTCCTCACCTCGCCCCGGAAGGCGCCGGCAGCTGCCTGGAAGCCGTCCCGCAGCGCCAGCTGCGCCGACGAGGACTTGTTGAGGAAGAGCAGCATGTGATGGGGGATCTTGGCACTGAAGATCTCGTCGGAGGTCTGAGGAGGAGGAGGAGGAGGGCAGGGCGGCCGTGGCCCTCGGAGGGATGGGGAAGGGGACAGGGACAGGCCGTACCTCGTTGGTGAACTCCATCACCAGGTCCAGGCTGTGGACACGGAGCAGCCGGGTGAGCTCGGCCGCATCCAGCCCCCGCGCAGGGTCCATGGGGAGGTCTGTCCGTCCCTCGTCAGACTGCCAGGGTGGGGGCCAGTGAGGGCTGCGGGAGGGCCAGGGTGGCCTCACCACCCCCCTGCCACCCCCTCACCTTCTTGAAGAGGCAGACGGTGTCAGCCGACAGCCCGTACGCCTGGAAGAGCTCAGCTGCCTTGGCCACGCCGAATGGCAC